CACTCTCTCTAAGGAGGGACTGTACTGTGAAGAGCTGTCGATACTGGAGGTCAGACTAGATATAATCCAGGTGTAGGCTTATCATTCAGTTGCAATATGTGCACTTATTCCAAGGCTAGTGGAAGAGGCGTTTTTGTAACTTGTTTTTACCAGTTCCTTAATTTCCCAAGGCTGACAGGCCTTTCTAAGTTCTGTGATAGTATTTTTCTGAGACATGACATGGTATACTTTTTCACTCAGAAATTGTTGTTTGTAGTTTTTCACCATTTAAGGGTGAAGGGAGGAGATATTAAGGAGTGGGGAGAAGGTTCAGCTTACTGGTCTTCTTTCTTTGGGGATACATTATTTAATAGATTACATTTCTTTACAAGCTGTGCTGCTCCATCCCTGCACTAGTTACTATGTTTTTCAGACACCATCGCATTCCTTACCAAGCTTGGGCATTTGTTCCTTAGGTCTGGGCTGCCAGTTCTCTCTCCAAGTGAGAGTATGAACTGACCCAGAGGCTTAAAGATCCCTTTCCAGTCTTGGGACTTTTCCTATTCTCATCACTCCCTTCTTCCCCCACCACTTTACATTCTAAAGATTTTCTTTTTCTTTGATCTCGTGTAGCTTGACACCATAAATTTGGTGTTTAGGGGCTCGAAGGAGTCTGAACTCCTTCTCTCCCTGCTAGCTTTAGGTGTGGTGGTGGAAGTGTATTTGTTTAGTTTTGCAGTGTACATTCAGAATAACATATAAAACTTACAAATTATAAAAGATAGGGATACCTCAGAGATATTGCAGGTTTGGTTCTACCACCGCAATAAAGAGAGTTGAATCTTTTTGCTGGTGGAGGGTCTTCCCTTCCCTTCAATGCAACATCTGTGAAGCACAATAAAGTAATTGAAATTCAATAAAACAGTGTGCCTGTAAAACCCTGGTAACCTGTGTTCAAGTCAAGAAAGAATATTGTGAGCAATCTAGAAGCAGACTCTGATCCCTGTCACTCAGCTTTTTTGACTTTTGTGATAATTACTCCCTTGTTCTTCTGTACTGTTTTACCTTATATGCATATGCATAACATATGCATCCCTATACAATATTACTTCATTTTATCCATTTTCCAAGTTCATGAGTGGAATCATCCTGTGCCTGTTCTTTAGTGTCATGCTTTTTTCACTCAATATTAAGTTTGTAAGATTTACCCATATTATTACATGCAGCTATAGTTTATTTTCATTGTATAAACACTGTATCGCACTTTTGGCCTGTCATGTTTTATTATTTGTTGAAGTTCTTTACACAGGAATCTCACCTTTTTTTTTTTTTAAATTGTATGTATTGTACTAGTAAATATCTTCCACTCTGTGGCTTATTCCTGAAATTTTCTTTATGGTCTCTTTGATGTAGAAATTCTTAATTTTAATGTAGGTGTATTTATGAATCTTTTTCTTTAGAGTGTTCCTCCTCTCCTCACTCTCCCTTTATAATGCTTTCCCTACCCCTGGGTCATGAAGATATTCTCCTATATCTCTTGTATTGTCTCCTACAAGTTTTGTAACTTTCTTTGGAGAGAGGCGATGTAGCTTTCATCAGACTGTCAACCGGATCTGAGAACCTCTGACTGATCTACAGGGCAGGGAATATAAAGTTCTAGATCAGCCGTGGGCAAACTACGGCCCGTTTTAAATGAATAAAACTAAAAAAAAAAAAGACCGTACCCTTTTATGTAATGATGTTTACCTTGAATTTATATTAGTTCACACAAACACTCCATCCATGCTTTTGTTCCGGCCCTCCGGTCCAGTTTAAGAACCCATTGTGGCCCTCGAGTCAAAAAGTTTGCCCACCCCTGTTCTAGATCCTCTCCTAATCACCTGGAAGAGTGGTAGGCATTTAATAGAGTTTAATAAAAACTAAATAAATGTAGTCTTTCTATATGTTGATGTCTTAATGGTAAACTCTGGAAGGACTGATGTAACTTCTCTGATGTGTCTTGAGTAAAATAACTAATATTGTCAGTATAAGGGCACAGAATAAAATTTGTTGTGTTTACCATGAACCAGGTGCTTCTTACACGTTATACCCTGTTAGGTAGGTATTATTTTTTCTCCATTTTATAATTGAAAAGACTGAGGCTCAGAAATATGTTTAAGCAACATCCACAAGGTCCCTCAGCTAGTAAATGGCAGGATGAGAACTTGAATCCAGGTCTTTCCAACCTAAAAGTTCATGTTTTTCCAAACTATCCCGCTGGCTGTTAATAATAGTCCATTGATATTAATGCTTCACACGTTTATACATGCATGTTCCTTGTTATATATTTAGAAATACTTTGCATCTGTGTGTTTTTTCCTGCTTGGGAAGGACTTTCGTAGCCTCATTTAACTTGATTCTTAAAGACACTGAGAGGAAAGAGGATAGATTTTATTATTTATTCCCGTGTTAAAGATGAGTAAATTGAGACTCAGAAATGTTGAATACTTAATCTAAAATATCACAGTTAGGTATAACTGCACCTAAGTTACCTCTATTGTGAGTTTCAAGTCATAAACTATAGTTTCTTTGAGTTGCTTTATATAACATATGGCTCAGAGAATTTGTGGCTCTAATAAGTTAGTTTTGAAAACTGTATTAATCCTTCTGGGTTATCATCTTACCATTTTTACTATTAGAATTTCAAAGTTGTCCAATTTATTTTGACAAAATTATTATAAGTCCCATGGAAATTATAGATATACTAGAGGCCTGGTGCACGAATTTGTGTATGGGTGGGGTCCGGTCGCCTGCCCTGATGGGGGTTGATAGGGGCCAGGCCAGTGGGGGGGAGGGGGACGTGGGAGGTTGGCTGCCGGCCCCGCCCCTGATCAGGGTGGGGGGGGGGCCTATCAGGGGCATGGCCAGCTGGGGGAAGGGGCCATGGGAGGTGGGGGGAGCTGATTGGGGCCCCGATAGGCCGGTTGGCCACCGCAGTGTGCATCATAGCGACCAGTCATTTTGGTCGTTCTGGTCACTTGGCTTTTATATATATAGATTTACACATTGTTTTACACATTAAAAATCCTGCATTCGCTGAGTTCTTTTATCCCCATCAATATTATATATGCAAAATGGTGTAGAAAATACAGGGAATACAAAGAGATATATAAAACAGGGAATTAGGGAAGGTAAGACTAATACACTTTAAAGAAGGTAAATAAGTATAAAAAGTAGTCCATGGTGACTATCAACTGGAGTTGAGCATAAGAGAACCAGATTGTCTTGGTTCAATTCTTGGATCACCTCTTACTATCTTATCTGCTTCCATTCATTATTTTTAAAACAATCCTATATAATAAAGAGGTAATGTGCAAATTGACCATCACGCCCTCACACAAAATGGCCACCACAAGATGGCCGGCAGGGGAGGGCAGTTGTGGGCGATCAGGCCGGCAGGGGAGGGAAGTTAGGGGCGACCATGCTGGCAGGGGAGGGCAGTCCTGCAGGGGAGGGCAGTTGGGGGGGACCAGGCCTGCAGGGGAGGGCAGTTGGGAGGGACCAAGCCTGCAGGGGGAGGGCAGTTGGGAGGAACCAGGCCTGCAGGGGGGGGGCAGTTGGGGGGAATCGGGCCAGCAGGGGAGGGCAGTTAGGAGTGATCGAGCCAGCAGGGGAGGGCAGTTGGGGCAATCAGGCCAGCAGGGAAGCAGTTAGGCATTGATCAGGCTGGCAGGGGAGTGGTTAGGGGGTGATCAGGCCGGCAGGCAGAAGCGGTTAGGGGCAATCAGGCAGGCAGGCAGGCGAGCGGTTGGGAGCCAGCAGTCCTGTACTGTGAGAGGGATGTCTGACTGCCGGTTTAGGCCCGAAAAACCGGCAGTCAGACATCCCCTGAGGGGTCCCAGATTGGAGAGGGTGCAGGCTGGGCTGAGGGACACCCTCCCCCCCAGTGCACGAATTTTGTGCAGCGGGCCTCTAGTGATATTAATAAAACGTGTTATGAAGGGTTTATAGATTAAATGAGTTAGTATATGTATTACCCTTAGGACACGATTAAGCACACAGTAAATACCTATAAAACTACTAGAGGCCTGATGCACGAAATTTGTGCAAGAGTAGACCTTCGCAGCCGCTGCGGCTGCCTGGATCTGTCCCTCACAGCCATGGGCCAGCTGCCTGGATCCATGCCTTGCAGCCACAGCGGCTGCCTTCATCCTGCGGCTGCAGCCCTGGCTTCATCCGGAAGGACGTCCAGAAGGATGTCCAGTCTAATTAGCATATTACACTTTTATTATTATAGATTAGCACTTATTTATGTTGTTAGCCTAAGGATAAAAGGCCAAAGTTGAGAGGCAATAGTATTTATTTGAGGTCTCCCCAAAATAGCTATTTGTGAAGCACTGATTCAGGCAGAAACCCAAATAGTGTTTTGATTATGAAGTGAAGGCAAGGGATTTTATGAGAAAGGGAAGGGGGGATAATTACATGACTAGAAGGAAGGAATTTCTATAGATGTAAATAAATGAAGTTATTCTTTAGCTATACATGGTGCTAATTCTAAAGAATGTCTTTAATTTTTAGTTTGGTAGTCAGAATGTCTGCTTTCCTGTTAGCTTTGCAAGCACTTTTTTGGGACACAATATTGCTTTGGCCCAGTCTAGAGGTTCTTTTGCCCAGATTAAACATTCCAAAGGTTTGAGGAGTAAGACGTACAAGGCAGTCCCTCTGGAAAGGCAGCTCCAACTCCATTTTGAACTCCGTTTACATAATTTTTCACATGTATATCATCTATGACTAAAACTCATTCACACTAAAGTTTCAGCAGGTACAAAAAGGACTAATATAAATTATTTTCCAAATTTGGAACTAGAAAGGAAGTTGGAACAGAAGAATCTGGAAAAGCACTAGACTAGGATAATCAAATAATCATGAGTTAATATGTATTATGTACTGGGTGCCAGGTAGTATTCTAATTTTTACATGTATTTTTCTCATTTAGTCTCCATACTAAATGTGATCATTTCCTTCATTTTACAGATGAGGAACATGAGACCTGGAGGGGGTAAATAATCTACTGGGGTCACACAGCTAGCAAGTGACACAATAGGATTCTGTGGCAGAGACTCCTAGTTGCCTACCTAGTATTCATGCCCTTCGTCTTCCTGAGTCAATGGAATCCTGTATTGCTGACTGTAGCAGTTTGCCAACCTACAAAACTACTTCTGCCAGCCTGCTAAGGAGATACAAGTAAAAGTTACTGGGTGGGATTTCTAGGAAAGCTCTTTAAAGAGGACTCAACTGCACAGAATATCCTTTTGCCTTTATCATATTCCTTCCCCCTTCTACCAGAGACAAGGATGTGTAACTCACAGCAGCCATTATGGGCCGCGAGCTTATCTTGAGGATGGAATCCATGCACGGAGAATAATGGAGCAGAAAAGTAGATGGAATCTCAGTTCCCAACAATACAGTCATCATCTGAGATTCTGATCGCATGCCTCCTCCTTTATCTGAGAAAAACAAACAAAAAACCCCTCTTGTCTTGTTTAAACCACTGTTACCGTAGGTCTCTAGAACTAGTCCCTGAATACATGACAAAATTATCTTAACTGATACAAATTCTAACTTGATCTTCTTGTTTCTCTCTCCTTACCACAAGGCTGTAATTCATTTTGTTAACGTGAGGTTCCCTTAGGATACCTAGATTCTTGTTGTTATTTTGTATTTTATTATAATACTAGAGGCCTGATGCACGAAAATTCGAAAATTCGTGAAAGAGTAGGCCTTCCTTCCCCTGGCTGCCTGCACCAGCTTCCCTCAGGCACCCAGGACCCAGGCTTTGCTCCAGCCCCGGCTTTGTTGAAGGACGTCTGGTCTAATTAGCATACTACCCTTTCATTATTATAGATGACCTTGGACAAATCACTCAGAGCCCCCTCCCTTTATTTGCATCTTTTGAATAGGAATTATTCTCTAACTACTCCTGCAATTTCATTATGGGGAACATGCTTGTAAACCTCAAGGTATCATATGTGATGTACTGAAAAGGAACCCTATAGAATCTGAAAACAGTTTCTGTTTTTGTGATTTTGCCTAGTGCCAGGTTTGGATACTTCTCAGGGAATGAATAAATAGAAGCTGTGAAGGAAGGTGATTTTGTCCCTGCTCTGATGCGTAAGAGCAGATTAACAATTGCAGTTGCTGATGAGCCCTATAATGCATGCCCGGGCTGCTGCTTAGGATTCAGAGTTCATTTTTTTTTCAATATGGCTGCCTCCATTGTACCGGAGCATTGTTTCCTGAAGATACATTAATCAAGGAATCGCTTTACTGGAGGATAGCTAAATGCTTTTTCTCTGAGAGGTGGCCAAGAACAAGGGGCACAGAAAAAAAGTGTTGGCACAGCATATTGATAATTAGTTTTTCTGGCAATAAATATCGCCATTTCCAATAGTCATGTGTTCACACAAAAAAAGGGCAGCCCCCACCCCCTCCAAGCATGAGGCCACTCACATAAATGATCCCTTCTTGTCTTATCCCAACACCCCTTGTTTATTTCCTCACAAGAACTCCCCCTCAACATACTAGTACATACTGCTAAAGCTATCTGGAGATTAAGAGGTAGATTTGTGTTAGCTCAGGTATAACTCAGTGGAGGGTGTGGTTTGTACGTGGAATTCAGTTGGAATAAGGAGTGGTATTGCAAGTTTTAAACTGTGACTTGCATTTGAATATTACTCTTAATTAGATGAGGGTAAAATTGGCAGACTCCATGCATATGTGAAATGCCTAATATCACAAACATTTGATCTCCTGTGCTGTTCTATTTCTGTTTCTTTTTCATAGAACATTTCAACTTTATAAGATGGTTTGGAATTGCTCACGTTTCTGTAGCAACGGAACCTCTAAACAGTACTTTTTAAACTGTAATAGGCCTACAAGTCACGTGGAGCTCCTAGAAATGCAGGTCCCGATTGAGTAGGTTTGGAGTGGAGCCTGAGATTCTGCATTTCTAACAAGCTGCAGGTGATGCCGCTACTGCTGGTTCCCGGACCACGCTTTCAGTAATAAGACCCTCAGTGCCAGGGTTCTGAATGCTGGCTTGGCACTGAATCAACTAGGGAGCTTTGAAAAAGACATGCTCATGACCACCCCCTCCCCTCAGATTTCCCAATTAGTTACCTCTGGAATAGTTGCTGGGAGCTAGATTTTTGAAGTTCTGTGTAAGGTGACACTCAGCTTAGGCTCCCATTAAAAAATGTGATGTTAAGTGGTTTCGGTGTGATTTCTTGTAATTTAAACTGTTATGTTCTTCCATCCTAAGCTGTGATGATTTTTAGTCAAACAATAAATAAACGAATCCACCATGCATTTTACAATGAATTTCATTCAATCCCTCTATTATCTTGCGTGGAAGAGAAGGCTCCACGTAAAGAATGGTTTAAGGCGCTCTCCTGGAAGTCACTGGAAAGCAATGTCTGCGGTCATAGAGGCCTATCCTGCTAACTTCAGCTGATGGGGGCTTATCGTAAGGATGCATACGTCAGCTTGCACACACACAAAGTAACTTCAGAAGACAGCTGGAAATAGAGTAGCCCGAGGAAAGTGGCCGTAAATAGTTACTCCAGAGAACATCCCTTGGGCTCAGTGTGCCTCTGTCTGCTCCCGTGGCTTGTGAGTTACTGAGTAATTGGCTCTCTTTTGTGTTCCTCACAGTGAGTCTCCCCAAGAACGAGCTCTAAGTAGGATGGCCACCACCATCTGGCACAGAGTGGCCCTTAAGGGCAGGGTTCTCATGCCAGTTTACCTCGGAGGCCAATGACAAATAGAGTCACTGGTGGTCCGCGAGGTCCGAAGGGTTGGCGACCGCTGAGATAGACATTGTTACCTTTCCATAGCCACCCCGCCTGGCTCCTTCTCCTGGGTACCCGCGTGGCCACCGCATTCCAGAACTGAGACTCGCCAGCAGCTCAGGGACCCGGCCTGGGGCTGTTGGAGATTTCCTAGAATGGAGAGGGTAACATTGGCGGACGCCATGCATGACCCAGCACTGACTTTCAGTCATGAGTTCTGCAAGGGGAGGCACTTATTTTGTTCAGTTATAGCCCAGCGATTTTTAAACTTGTTCATCTCGAGGGACACGTAAACTAATTACTAAAATTAGGCAGCACACCAAAAAATACAATTTTTGCCGATCTGACAAAAGAAAAGGTATCATTTTGATTCCTTCACCCCGGGCGGCTATTGTTGTGTTGGCTGTTGTCATTTTTTTATTTTATTTGACAAATAGTCAGGTATTGAATGTTTTTTGTGTTGGCTGTTGTCATTTTTTTTTTTATTTGACAAATAGGTATTGAATGTTTTAAAAAAATCTTTCAGCACACTGGTTGGAAAATCCTTGTTATAGCCCCATGACTCAGAACAGTGTCTGGTACTTATGTTCTATATATATTTATCGAATAGAATAGAATTAAAAAAAAACCCTATTTACTGTAACTATTTTTTAAGTTTTAGTACATTTTATTCTAACCCAAGTCCTTTGGTACACAATGATGGGGAGCGAATTCCTGTTGTGCCCATAGCTTACCCTGTTGAGAAGAGACAATACTCCTTGACGTGCAAGAACTGCTCATATTCCTGTTTCCCTTTTAGTTGTAAGAGCTGGATTCGTTTGCCCCTTGGTGCCCTCAGTACGGCTGGCGCCAGGCTTTGGGGGGAGGGGCAGCAAATGGAGGCCAAGTGCAGTGCTCGCAGCCCTGCCCCACGCCGCCCTCAGGGTCTGCTCGGCTGCCCCGGTGAAGCAGCGCCGCAGGGCCTCGAA